TATCCAACCCTACTCGCTACATACTCTGCCGCACGTGTGGTGAACTGCGTTTAAAACTTGAGGATATACCACCCCTTGTCAAATTTGTTAACAAAAATTTCATCGCAAACAAATTATTTTTTTATATTTGGTCACACGACTTAATTTTCTTTTTTTCTTTTCAACGACCAATAACCATTATCTTTTTCTTTTTTTTTTTCAAATAAATCAACTTATATTAAACTCAAATAAGTACATCAACTTACATTAAACTCAAATAAGTACAATTGTAATATCAACTGGTATCATCTTTAGCTTATCGAATACAACAGTTAGACAGCTAAACCCCGAGGCAACTACACATGAAGCCCCCTCAAATACCTTCAAGGTCACAAAGTCCTACTAAGTTACCAAACATAAAAAGAACAAGTTCCAACTAAGGTCACACGACTTAATTTTCAACTTTTTTCAATTGGGTGATAAATTGGCTACCACAAGCAAAGTTGGGATTCATATCACCATTCGAAAAGCTATGGATTATCAAACCAACTGTTAGTCACTTCAGAGTCTTGGGGTGCGTCAGTTACGTGCTCGTACCAAGTCACTTACGGAGCAAATTTGACAAGAAGGCAATTAGATGCATATTCTTGGGATGTGACAGCCAAAGAAAAGGGTGGAGATGTTCCCATCCATCAACCGGTCGGTGTTACACATCACGCAATGTGATATTCGATGAAGCATCCTCTTGGTGGACACCACATAAGTTGGAGCTACCAGATTCCAAAGAAATCAAGGATAAGCTCTAGAAATGGGTGAAACTTCCAAAATAAATTCAAAGAATGGAAGAATCAGACAAGGAAGGGGAGTCACCAAGATCAACTCAATGTCCGTGGCAGACCAGTGTACATGAAGTAACTCCAGAAGTAATGAGACCAACTCAACTCGAGGAGATTGAGCCACTAGGAGAAGAAGCAGATGAAATATCAACAAGTTCACACAACTACGGAGATCTTCCAAACAAAAGAGGCCAAATCCCAGGTACGCCAATATAGCCTTAGAAGAAGATACAAGTATAAAGGAGCCACAAATTTTTGTGGAAGCAATTAAACATAAAGAATTGATAAAAGCAATGAACGGGGAGATAATGGCTCTAAGGCAAAATGAAACATGGGACTCAGTATCCAAACCGGATGGAGTTAAACTATATCTTGTAAATAGGTCTATAAATAAAAAGGGAGCCTGACGGATCAATTGAAAGATATAAAGCTCGGCTTGTTGCACGTGGATTCTCACAACAGTACGGACTAGACTACGACGAGACATTTAGTCCAGTGGCAAAAATCACAATAGTTCGAGTACTTATTGTACTGACAGCAAGCAAGTCCTGGAAATTATAGCAGATGGACGTGAAGAATGCATTTCTACATGGAGAGCTCGACAGAGAAATATACATGGTCCAACCTGCGGGGTTCAAGGATAAGGAGAATCCAAGGTACGTATGCAAACTAAAGAAGGCCCTATACGGGTTAAAGCAAGCGCCACGAGCATGGTATGGTAAGATCGTTGAATGCTTAATTTAGTGTGGATACTCTGTTACACCAGCAGACTTGAACCTCTTCGTCAAGAACAAGAAAGAAAACTAGCAATAGTGCTAGTATACGTGGATGATACCATTATCACTGGAGATGATGAAGAAGTAATCCAACAAACCAAGAAGAATTTATTGGTGAGATTCCAAATGAAAGTGCTTGGAGGACTTAAGCACTTTTGGGGCTAGAGATAAAACAAAAATACGAATGTCTTTTATTGTGTCAGTCAAAATATACTAAAGATCTATTGAGGAAATTTGGCATGATTGACTGCAAGCCATTATCGACTCCAATTGAAGCAAATGCCAAGATATGTGCTCAAGATGGAAAAGACTTGGAGGATGCAACTATTTACAGGCAACTGGTCGGATGCCTAATTTACCTAACCTCTGACGCATACTAAGGTATGTAAAAGGATCAATTGACTATGGACTTCTCTATTAGAGGAATAAAGATATAAAAATAATTGGCTATTGCGACGCGGACTATGGCGGATGTGGTGATACAAGAAGGTCCACTACTGGGTATGTGTTCAAGTTTGGGTCGGCTGCAATATCATGGTGTAGCAAAAGACAACCGACAGTGTCCCTATCAAAAGTAGAGGTCGAGTACCGAGCAGCAGCAATGGCGGCCTAGGAAAGCACATGGCTTATGCAATTACTAAAAGATCTACATCAGCCATTTAGCTATGCGGTGGAGTTATATTGTGATAACCAATTCGCTATACGCATAGCAGAGAATCTTGTATACCACGCGCGAACAAAACTTGTCGAAGTTCACTATCACTTCGTTAGAGAAAAATTACTCAAAGGGGACATAGAGATGAAGCACGTTAATACGGAAGACAAAGTAGTCGATGTGTTCATCAAAGGACTCAATTTGTCAAAATTCGAAGAGTTCCGAACACACATTGGAATGGTTCGAGAGGAGAACATAACTTGATAGAATGTCGGTGGTGAGGGGGAGTGTTCATTAAATCACCACCAACATATGAAGAAGTTTCCTGAAATATCTAGCAATATTAAATATCAATTAGTTATGAAAGTGCTACAAAAGAAAGTGCTAGAAGAGAAAGTGTTATATTATTTTAATGTTTGTTTACTAATTAATCTACACACTAGAACCTTTTATGACTAGTATAAATATAGGTAGAAGTGTGTTTGAGTGGTGTGAGTGATCAAAAAGAAAAGGAGTGAGTGAGGTGTTTGTACTACAAAAAGGGAGTGTTTGCATATTGTGAGTTGTGAGAGATACATTTGTAATAATTTTATTTCTATGATAAAATCAATTTGTTGTATTACTCTTGAGTGTATTGGTCCATTTATTTTCAACATTGGGAGCTTCAATTTATATTAACTTCAACTAAAGTTTAATTTTATATTCTAATTCTCAATTTAACCAACTGAACTCTCTCGGACATTATTCAACCATTTTGAACTTTAAAAAAAAACTTTTTGAGGAGCATTTACATTAACATTATGTTGAAGATTACTCAAATCGAGCACTAAACTATCTTCTTTATCAAAGCAATAAGTGACACATGAGGCAAAAGGTCGAGTTGAGCTCTTAAATTGAGAACTATAATGTAAACATAATTTTTCAATAGAGAATGGTTTAAAGTTGAAAACATCAATTGAGAAAGTTGAAAGTTCAGGCATGATATGTGATATTATACCTTAAACCGATCCGAGAGACGGGAGAGGAATAAACCAGATAAACTGGTCTGGTCGAGCACAGTGTACGCTGATCGATAGAGTGTAAATATTAGGGCCATGCGGATCCAAGAGCACCCAACAGATTCTAGCTTTACAAAGGACTTGGTTG